GCACTCCCCATGGCCGGGACCGGACCCGCTCCGCTCGCTGCGGTTTCTTGGGGCCGGGCCAATCGTTTTGCAGGGGGAAAAGCGGCAGCGGTGTAATTCCCTAAGGACTTGATGGCCCAACGTGGTAGGACATCAGTGACTAAGGGCATCGCACCCAAAGGGCACGAGAAAAAGAGAGCAGGAGCTGGGGTTTTTTAGATTTTTTTTTACTTTCCCCACTGGATTTTGACTTTACTTTGATACTTTATCCTAATGGCTCCGCTACGATCTCATGGAGCCCATAAAGCCCTTCTCAGGGTACCCTATTCTCACTGCCTCCGGGATCCCCTGGGGGTTCTTGCACAGATGAATTTGAAACCCCATCCAGCCCGGAAAAATCACGGGCAGCTTTTCCTGCAGCACACCTGCGTAAAAGAAAGATTAAAATGAGTTGTTCATTTCAGCGGATTGACCTGAAATCTTTCCACCTTTATCATCCGGGGTGGGTGCTTCCATGCTAAAAATTCTTTGGCAAAAAAAGGCAGTTATTGCTGAAAAGTTGCAGTGTTTTCCCTTCTGGGACGGTCCTAATGCAGACTCAGTACCTGTGCTAGAAGGCACAGGCAGGTGTGAGCCTTAGTCATTTTCAAACAACAGTTGCTTTTCTTCCCCGGGGAAAGCTTCTACTTTTGTTTCTCAAATTACTAAGGCACTTGATGGCTGGACGTCATTGGCAACCATAGGAAATATTCTGGAATAAAATACCATCCCAAATGAGTTTTCGGTCCTAATGCAGACTCAGTACCTGTGCTAGAAGGCACAGGCAGGTGTGAGCCTTAGTCATTTTCAAACAACAGTTGCTTTTCTTCCCCGGGGAAAGCTTCTACTTTTGTTTCTCAAATTACTAAGGCACTTGATGGCTGGACGTCATTGGCAACCATAGGAAATATTCTGGAATAAAATACCATCCCAAATGAGTTTTTGTCTTCTCAGAGAGCATTTTGATATTTCCTCTTCTCTGAATAGGGCTGGGGTGCCGCTGGCGTCTCAGCTCCCGGGCGGAGAGAGGAGGGATTTCATTTGCACACGTATCTCTCGACAGTCCTCTCGCACTTTTTACAGGTCACGTAGCAGCACCAGTGGTACTTGCAGTGGCACCGCTCCACC